TCTGTCTTTCTCTGTATGACTTATTTCACTAACCATAAGAGACTCTTAAAGACAGAATAAACTGAGGGTTGATGGGGGGTGGGAGGGAGGGGAAAGTGGGTGATGGGAATGGAGGAGGGCACCTGTTGGGATGAGCACTGGGTGTTGTATGGAAACCAATTTGACAATAAATCTCATATTAAAAAAAATAAAATAAACACTCAGAGGGGAGGGAAAAAAACCACTGTGCTTGCCTCTGCTTCAATTTCCACTCAGTGAACAAAATAATGGTAACAGGGTGTGCAAATTGTTTGAATACGGAAGACATTTTTTAATGTAATGTGGAAGCCCTTGGTGGTTTACTGTCAGATATCTCCGTATGAATGAAACAATTTGCCTTAATAACTGAACCATATAAATCTTTGATACTACAATAATACTGCAAGCTGTCACAAATTACCACCGTACATCTTAACTGCCACGTCACGTCACGTAAATTATAGTCATGGTGACATGCTTAGCTTGGTTGATTTAATATCTTGCTAAGGAAATGGAAAATTGTAGGGCCTTGTTTATAAATTCAATAAAGCCACTTCTCTAAATAGTTGAGGCTAAATTCTTTACCAGTAATTGCTGTTCAGATCAGAGCCATTGCCAGAATCTGACAGAAATAGTCTATCAGGAAACCAGTGCATCTGCTTAGATACTGAATTTCATTTACACCCATGACCAGGAGGCTGTCGGTATATCATCCCACCTCCGCTTTTTTAGTGTTAATTCCAAAGTCAAAAAAAAATATTTATGAGATGCTATTAGCTTTGCTAAATATTTGTGTAACCAATTTTCAAACATATTCCAAAGCGCTTGGTTAGAAGGCTACTTCTAACAGAAGGGAGATGTGCTATGCTTATTCTGATATAACGAAGATGCCACATGCCATTCTTCCTTTTTTTTTTCTTCAGGAACCTGACTCCAAATAATAAAACTGCTCTCACATGGGATACACTTTGCTGACTGAGAGGCCCACCTGATTGTGATAAAACTCAAGAACGCTAGCCAGTCTAGCAAAGGAGTATTTTTTTATCCTAAGACACATTTTTATTGACTGCAGACCCTCTTTGGAGTCATGAGGCACACATAACCAAATACGTGTGTGTGTGTGGGGGGGGGGGTAGTCATGAGGCCTGGAAAATCTTAGCACATTCTTATACTGCCCGTTCCATTTAAATATTTTCACCATCTCCCTTATGAGTTAATTCTTCAAAAGCAATCTTGAAAATGTTTTTTCTCACATGTGAGTGAATATCTAGCACAATTGGCACAATCAAGCGTTGGTTCCCCCTCACTCCTCATTTTAGAGAGTCAAGGAGGATTAAGTCAGCCACCTAGAGGGTTGTATGAGGCAGCATTTCATTTTCAAAATGCTTGGCAAATGTTAATGCTTGGTTGTAGGGCACTGGTTTACACATGGGACTAGGCAGGAATGGAAAGATCTAGAGGGCAGAATCCTGCTGGTTTGCTACAGGCTACAGCTATTCAGAAACAGTTTGGGTATTTCAGAGTTGGAATAATTTACTGCTTTAGTAAACTAAGTGCTATTGGAACACTGAAATAGTCATTTACTTAAGGTTCCCCTAGTGGTCTGAAATAGTGCGACTTCCAAAAGCAATCCTCTCTGCATCTGTAAAGTTCCCTGAGAATCTGGCTTGGCCTGTCTACTCTTCCCGCATTACCATTCAGGTTTACAATTCTGTCTCTGAGCATTATTAAATTAATCTTATGTGATTTGTTCTTCACAGAACAATGCTTGTTTTCTACAACATGACGTTGTCGTTTTCTGTCTCTAGCTCAGAGAAAGGAGCTTTTAAATTGTTTCCTCTAGTTGCCAACAGTACCTATAGGCAAGCTTAAGATGCACATTATAAGTCTGCTGACAAAATAGCATCTGGCTTCTAAAAGAAATCTCTGGTACTTCCTTGTTGTGCTTGCTTGACTTTCAGTTCCATCTCTCAGATCTCAAATTGAACCTCTGGATTTGAAGGAGACTGATGTTTGAGATTTACAGGGTAGGGTCCTTCTTGTCGTATAAAAGGAGCTCAACTAATACTTGGTGATTAATGCTACATACTTAATAACAACAACAGCAGGCTGTTGTTTGTTTTTTTTTTTTCCAAATAAAAGGATGGAGCTATTATTTATTTGTTTACTTATTTATTTGGGTTTTTTAAAGTATTTAAATTCCAATTAGTTAACATACAGTGTAATATTAGTTTCAGGTGTACAATATAGTGATTCAATAGTTCTATACCACACCCAGGGCTCATCACAAGTGCACTCCTTAATCCCCATCACCTATTTAACCCATCCCCCCACCCACCTCCCCTCTGGGACCCATCAGTTTGTTCTCTATAGTTGACAGTCTGTTTCTTGGTTTGCCTGGCTTTTTTTTCCCCGATGATCATTTGTTTTGTTTCTTAAATTCCACATATGAGTGAAATCATGACTCTTGACTTAGGATTTATGTCAGGGTTGAAAAATGATTTCAAACATGGTTAAAAAAAATTAAAAACTAATAAACATGATCCAATCTCCTCTCAATTAAGGTATTGTGGGGCGCCTGGGTGGCTCAGTCGGTTAGGCGTCCGACTTCGGCTCAGGTCATGATCTCACAGCTTGTGAGTTCGAGCCCCGCGTTGGACTCTGTGCTGACAGCTCAGAGCCTGGAGCCTGCTTCTCATTCTGTGTCTCCCTCTCTCTTTGCCCCTCCCCTGCTTGTGCTCTGTCTCTCTCTCTCAAAAATGAATAAATGTAAAAAACAAATTAAAAAAAAAAGGTATTGTGTATGTGGGAGAATGGCATGACCATAAAAGTAAATAGGACAAATCAACGGTGATTGAATTTTTATTCCACGAATCAGATCTCATTAAGAATGATTTGATGGGGCGCCTGGGTCACTCAGTCGGTTAAGCTTCCAACTTCAGCTCAGGTCGTGATCTCACT